ACTGTTTCCCAAGGAAAAAATGGTTTTGGGCAGGAAAACCAACTTTTTCTTGGTGGAAAACCAAAACAACATCTTTGGAGTCTGGCCGTAAAGTTTCCCAGAAGATTTTTTGTTTTGGTTTTCGTAAAAAAATTGGTTTTTCGGTCCCAAACCCATTTTTTCCTAGGAAAAGGTTGGTTTTTCGGCCCAACCACCTTTTCCTGGGGAAATTTAGTATTTCCAAGACCAACTTTTTCCTAGCAAAGAGTGTGTATTTCATTTGTTGTTTGCGCGTGTTACGAATTAGTGTTGCCCATAAGGTTCGTCGAGTGTCACTACTATTGGGATTCGGTTCCGCTTAGCATTAATACCATACAACAGGGGATAACCAACACATTATTCAGATCAGTTTTGGTGTAAATAAGGAGCTAGTACTGCAGGTTCAACACAGATCAGGACCCAGGATATCAGGGTTATCACAGCTACCACTACGGTTTCGTTTAGCTGACTAAGGTTGTAACTTGAATAAGAGAAAGATCGGGGTCAGATTCTAGGTGGTACTATGGTGTTAGGGCTGCTGTCAGAGCAAATACCATTGGCATAAGGGCGAATGCCAAGGATAGGGCTAGGGTTGGTGTTGTTTCGAGGAGTCAATTAACGATCCCCGTCATATTGTTGCTATCTAGTACAGATTTAACCTTAAACACATGCTGGTCATCCCTAAAGATTTAGAGCTAAGGGCCATCATTTGGGCAACGCCAGAGCGAAAACAGCAAGGGTCGTGGCTCTTAATGGTATCGTTTTGTGTAGTTTGATATTTGCATGAATGTGACGGCTACCGTTCAAGAAAATGTTAAGCAAGTATTTAGCTTACCTGTATTCATCCTAACAGTAAACATACTAGGGATGTCGGGGACTTGAATGCTCGTGCTAGGGATCCCACAGCACACCTGGATTAAAGTGTTAATGAGGCCAATGGTCGACTTTTGTCCTAAAGCCATCATTCGGGTTGCTGTGAACAGCTTATGGATAATATGAAGTTTGCGGTAAAGTCCATCTTGGAGTCATATCCAGTATCAAGGTTGCCAGGGGGACTGCAATATCCTTACTATCGGGGGGCCAATCAGGCTCATGTATGCTATTATATTAACCTTCAGCTCGATATGAGAGTGAAAACAGGGAACATATATTGGGGTTCAGTCGACATAACCTTTTAATCCATATGAACGAAGACGTGAATCTATAAGCACTCTCTTTTGGGCGAACATGAAATAGAAGGCTACTGTCACCATTGGTGCCCATGTAAGGTCTAATGGCAGGGTTCGTCTTTGGGATACCGTCGTTTAGGAATAAGAGTCAGTCAAGGCCCATACCTTGACAGAAATGACTTTCATCGTCGGACAAATCATTTCTCAGAGTATCTGTGTGAAGGGTCGCAAGAATTCAGTGTGAAGGCTACGTTAAACCTGGATCTTACACCAGAAATCTAAACGTAGGCGGATTGGTGGCGCTATATGTATCTATGTCCGTATGTATATATATATATATATGCATATCTGTATATACAGCTACACACAAAAGGCAGAACCCCGTTTGGGTATGAAACCAGAGAGACGCTGATCTCTCTTACTCTCTCTCTCTCTCTCCCTCTCTCTTTCTCTCTTTCTCTCTGTCTCTCTCTCGCATTCCCATGCCCTCAAATCAAGGAGATTCATGTCATCCGTGCCCTTCCTGCGAAGTGCTTCTGCCACGCACCCAGGCTCGCTCCCACGCTGACTCGAAGCAGTGGGATCCTCAAAAGACCGGAGGCGTCCGCTTGATAGGCTCAAGATGTGGGAGCATACTGCATGTCATTCTTGTGCGGATCTGCTGCCCTGCTGGACAATCACACTCTTTTCCTATTGGCAGACACATCTGCAACTGCGATTGAAGTGTCAGATTCCAGTGCAAGTTTACCCATTCTGCTGTTCACAAGGACCTAAGTCGTGCTGCCGTTGTTTTCTAAACCTTGCTACGTTCCGTGCGTCTTCTCGACGATTGTCCCATTTGAGTCGTGTTCACGCATGTTCACGCCTTGTTTTGCTTCCAGCTCAGGCTCTTGGACCTTAGCGCTTCTGCTGTTCCGTTTGCCGCTCCGATGAATGATGATGTAGCCTTCTTGTCTTGGACACAAACCGTGTCATGCTCAGACCATCAAACCGAAGACCACTATTTGTTGGCAGTTTAGTTACAAACACCAAGACACAA